CTAATCTAAACAGGAAAGTTAGAACATACCTGAAGAAAAAAGAAAATAATCCCCCCTTGCGAGAAAACGCCGAGCAACGTGAGAGGAAGAGAGAAAAATAATATAAAAATGGGATTGTGAGTCCAAAATTATATTAAAAAAAAACTATAGGTTTGAATTTAATTATTCAAACCTTTGGGCCCAAAGTTGCAATTTTCTCTAAATTGCATCTTAGCCTCTCATACTTCCTAATGCACACACCCCCTCCTTTTTATACATGAAGGCACCTCTTCTCTTCCCTCATCTAACCAATGTGGGACTTAGAAACAACAACCTTCCACCCCCCCTTTTTTTTTGTTCCTTCTACCTTCTCTTTTTTTTTTAACACACATAAAAAAAATTATTTATGTATTATATCTTAACTAAATATTGCTTATGTGGTTTTAAATTTAAATTTTTAAATTCATAATTAAATACCTAATCATAATATTATTTCTAAATAACCTCAAATAATATAAATTCCTATTATTATCATTTTTTTCCTCAAAACCTAAATTCCACAATTTCTTTATTATATAAAAATCAGGATGTTACACGTGGTTCAATGGTACCAGGTTCAGCCTCAACTTTGTTATGTAGGAGAGGTTGGAGGATCGAACCTGGGGAGGCTCTCCGCAAGGGGAATAATCCGCACACTACTGCGGGGAAGCCTTTGTCTCTGATGCTCACCGTAAGGGGTGGGGTCGCCCTATTGTGGGGCCTGGGGGGAGAGTGTCCAGCGCCGCAAAAGACCTCGGGTAGGCGGGGTGAGCGGAGGGCTGTTACATTTTTTATTTTGAAGTGTCTGCCAATCTTATGGCGAACTAGACTCCTTTTTTATTCCTGTTATCAAGCTTAGGCTTGCCTTAATATAATAAAAAAAAAAGCATGCACGAGGTGTGAAAAAATATAATTTAAATAAATGATGATAATTAATACAAATTTAAAATCTAATTAAATGAAAATAATTTTTAAATTAAATTTATTAATGTTTAAAATAATGAATATAGATGATATAAATTTGGGTACATTGATAACATCTAGAACATTTAGATCCAAGGAACCACATAAAAGAAGTAAAATGACCCCCATATTAAAAATTAATGTATGAGTGTGTATATATAATAATAATAATAATAATAATAATAATAATAAGAGTGACCTCCTAATATTTTAAACATTTGGATTCAAAGAAAAATTAAATATTTACAAAGTGAAGTCATGAAAACACATAATTCAAAAATAGATGGTAATAAGAAAATTGCAAACTATACTTACAAGTTATGGTAAAAAAAGGAATGATATACCACTTCCTTACAATGAATATGTAAAACCATATATAAAATTTGTAAAAAAATATAAAAAATAATTTAAGTAAGTAATTATACTTAATTAATATTCAATATCTAAATTCTTTTTGTACTAAAAATATGTATAATTAAAGTCATAAAGTGATTGTGTATAAATTTATAAGTAAATATACACTTGATTATGCAAAACATGTTATTAAGAGGATATATATTTTCACATAGCCTATAATGTATTGTTTAAGAGCATCAAATTAAAGGATCTTGTAATCATGTATAACACTGTTTACAATAGCAACTACAAATTATTATGTTCAGCAAGGCACGACTCTACAAGATAAAATTTCATCACACAAATGTAAACTATAAATTGAAAATTCACTATATATGATTAGAAGAAAGTGTTTTTGCTACACAGTTATGTAGATGCTTGAATTAACCTATGAGCATTAAAAATTGACAGACAACTTGACTCCCCAAAAAGAGATGAGTAAGCAAAGACGAAAGCAAGAAAAATAAACATCAGCGTGAACAAAAAGCATTCCATATTATAAGGTAGTATTAATTTGAGGTAAATTAAATTTGTAAAGACTGTATAATTCAGCTACTCATAATGCTCTCATAAGATTTAAGATAGATATAGTTGAGATATACTCTCAATTACTTTCGTTCTTAAAAAGTAAAGCCACCCAATATAAAATGCAAAGCTCATAATAGGCTGGCCTTAAGTTGATATCATTTAAAGAAGAGGTAGGCATGGGGTATTTAATTATGAAGTAAAATAGAAACCTTTGAGCATGAGGAAATCTGGAATTGAAGCAAGTTGAGGTGATTGAACAAAAAGATTGTTACCCCATAGACCTATAATGACAAATAAAAAAGCAATTGATCCAAAAGAAATAAATGACAACATGAAAAGAAAAATACATATAAGAGTCTTCACTGAAAAAATAAAAATGCATATCATTAAATAGTAATGTTAAAAATGAGGTTATCTAGAACACAAGAGAACTTTTATACAAAAATCAAACACGTCAAATCATGATGAAAAAATTATTTACATGCCTTTTTAAAAACGATTACATGAAAATATAGCCTGACATTAATGCAATAACATCCTTGGCAGTAGGGCAAAAAACATTTAATACGAATAAACTATTTTTTATTCAAGAGGAGAGTGTTCATAAACTTTAATACATAAATTAATAAAGCATATTTGTATGTAATTGTAGCTTATACTTACGTACTATTAGAAAGATGAATCTATTAATTTATATAAAGCACTTGAACTTCAAGATAGAATTTTCAAATTCCATGCAATAGATATTTCAAAATACTCACGACATGTTGATGCATGTCTACTAACAACGGTAATTGATATATCTAAATGAGATTCAAGAATCACATACCAATTCATCTGACTTGCATTAGGCATCTAAAAGATGGGAAGCTCCCATTGATTAATTGTCACAAGGTCACTTCAAAAAGAAATAGTGGGAACAGGACAAGCAGAGAATAGATAAAAATTCACAATTTAGCCTTTGAATGTTTAATTAGATGAGCACTAGGGGAACTTAAATGAAGAAAACAAAAGACAAACCTTGTGGTGCTATCATCATGGAGCATGAAAAATTAAAGGCAATAAAATATATTGTCCCAATATGATCCAAAATTGTTAGTCTCCACTTAGATCGTGGGTTGAGGCAAGTTACATTTAGCCATTCATGTATGGCCTAATTTTCGACCTCATCCATTAAAAAATTAGAAATAAAAATTATAATTTTAAAATATATTAAGAAAATTGTACATGGGAGTGGGATTTAATAAGAGAGAAAAATAAGAATTATGAAAATGGAAGAGATCGTGAGAGAAAATATTAAGAATAAAATAAAAGAATTAATATAATGAGAGAACCAACTAAAAGATAAGACTTAAATAAGAAGAGGTGGTTTCTAATAATTTCAAAGATATCATGGTTATAAAAATATTTTTAAAAATCAATGTTAACGTGAAAGTTGGATAATGAGGCGAATAGTGGGAGAGAAGATTAGAGATAAATAAAATTAAGGAGAGAAAAATAAAAGATAAATGAAAGTGGTTTCGGTTAGTTTTAGAAACAGTTGTTATTATTTTCCTTTAAAATATTTATAAAAATAATTGAAGTGATAATGAAGAGATAGGTGGGAGTAAAATTAAATTGAAAAAAAATTAAATTTATTCATAAAATTATTCTTCTAGTCATGATGTGGATTGGTATAATTTTTAGAGACTTATAAAAAAAGATATATTGATTAAATTAAGTTGTATTTTTAAAAATTAAATTATAATTTGGGAAGTTATATTTAAGATCATGTGAGAGAACATCAAAGATAAAGACATTTTTTTTCAATTTTCAAAATAATAATTTTGTATTCAAAATAATAAGTGGCGGCATAAAATAAAAAAAATAAAAAACTTAAAAATAAATATAAAAATTAAATCTTACGTGACTGTATAAAACTGGAGGAATGAAAAAATGGACACTTATCATATTATAGCTATTGTTACTATTCTGTTATTATATATATAGATTTTCCTCTTTATACTAGCTTGTCAATTCGTTCATTTTTGTATTGTGATTATTACACCGTCATTAAACTAAACTATGACTACTTTTAGGAGATTAAAAATGAAAATGGAGGGATTCAATCCTAACAGGCCAAAGTCTAGACATTATTTTCTCATCTAGACTATCATTCTTAAAGCTTTATTATTAGGGCTCGTAAATTCGCATTTAACTTTTTTTATTTTTTTAAAATATAAAATTAATAAGTGCAGACATAACATATCAATTATAATATCTTAAACCTAAATGATAACTTTTTCAAAGATAAATAAGAGTACAATTCAATACAAATTATAATACCTAAATATGGGATAAATGGTTTGCTTTATAGGCCTCGTTTTTTTTTTTTTTGGCTTTTCAACTTTTTCTCTTATTTAAACATATCTTTTCATAGTTTAGTAGAAGTAGTAAGCTACTCATAGGGTGAATCAATATTTAAACTTTATTTAAATAATGTGCCTACATTTAACACCCGGTAATATTTTAATAAGATTGCTTTTTCAATAGAAAATATCTATGAAAAATTAAAAAATATATATTTTTCACATAATGGGCAGGGGCTTTGAAAAGAAAATAATACACGCCCACATTACCCAATCCACTAATCCCTGCCCTGTCAAAATTGTCGTTAGACCAATACATTGTAAATTGTAATTAAATTTCAGAATTTTAACCATGTCACTGTGCAAATTTGGAGGGAACACACGAAAAAAAAAACAGTTTGTTTATTTTTGAATTATTTACGAGCACCTTCTTTACTATAAAATTTAAAATGCATCCGTTCGACTATTTCTCCTTATGATTCAAATTCCTATGATCATATTTTTCTTGTTCCGATAATAAAAATTTCATCTCAATCCACTGTTCCGAAGCGCTTGAAAATAGGGTTGCCATGATAAAATCATTCCTGATTGAGATTTTTTGGGTAAGATTTTAAAATTGAAAAATATGAAGCAATTTGACAACATTTCTTCCCAGGTTCACAGCTTCTCTATTTCTAACGTCAATGCCTCAAAGCCCAAATCCTCGCATCACCGAAAATACAAGGTCAGAAGGAAAAGAAACTTCCCAAAACAGCAAATAACCATCAAGGCTCCTTAGTACTGATAATAGCAGGATGAGAAAAATCTTAATCGAGAGTTTTGATACCTCGCAGAAGGCAAAATCGAAAAGCTAATCCTATCATTAACACCACGTGGTTACCAACTTCAGTGGAAGTCATCGGCCGTCCGCAAAAGCAGGGGTAAACGGCGATTCTTGTCTATTTTGTTTTCGCCAATGATAACACCAAATCTGGGCTATCGTTATTTTGACCTCATTAATCCAATTTTCATTTCTCTTAGCTACCAGAACGTGAGAGTTCTGTCTGTACAAAAGCCCATCTCCTTCCCACATCACCATTGTTCTTTTCCAATATTCCAATTTTGTTCTTAAATAATATCTCAACCTGCATGCTTACCGTTAGAACCGTTGTCCCCTAACTCTCTTAAAGGCAAATCCCTGATTCTCATTTGCTAATCTATTTATTGTGACACGGGATATCTATGTACAGATTAAACCATTTGAGGTAGATTTGATTTGTTTATTGACCTTCTGGCCGGGATTCTTCTGTTATGAATGCAATTCGCCTTTTCAGCCATTGCACCATGAAACCCTCCTGTAGGCTTCTCGGTTGTAGTAGAAATTCATCATTTTTTGGGGATCCACGTGCAAAATATCCCCATAATGTATTTATTAATTTGTCGAAATATCGACTCAATTTTGATCTTCACAATCATTGTTCGTTTCGAATACTGGGGTTCCCCCGTATAATTAACGAAGCCCAGGAAGTTGAAGGGTTGCCCTCTTCGAATTTTTGCCGGTTGAGGGTAACTGCGAGGTCTTTTTCTTTAAGCGCAAATAGCAGAGTCGCTCCTCTGGTTGCAAAAGTTGCCCCAAGAGTTCGGGATTGCTCGACGTCCATTGAGTCCTGTGGCAATGACAATAAATTTGACACAGTTTATATTCCCGGTGGAGAGAAAGTGAAACCGCTAGTGAAGGAAAGAACTGAAAACGATGATAATATTGCTGGAGAGGAAGATTCTAGGTTAGAAGATGGAAGTGAAGATGTGAATTTACAGAGTGAAGGCGATGAAACAGAGGTGGAGAAAGAGGCATGGAAATTACTACGAAACGCAGTTGTGACTTACTGTGGCAATCCTGTGGGGACGATGGCTGCAAATGATCCAGGCGACACTCAGCCCTTGAATTACGATCAGGTCTTTCTTCGGGATTTTGTCCCCTCAGCTCTTGCTTTCTTGCTTAAGGGCGAAAACGAGATCGTCAAGAACTTTCTTCTAAACAATTTGCAATTGCAGGTATTTGTGCCCTTCGAATCATTTACTAGTTTGGTCGCCTACTTTCCCTGCTAAACAATGCTGGTAACTGCAGATTACAAGCATGTTTGAGCTCTTGAATTTTGGTTAATAGCAAGCTTCATGAATGCTAGTTATTATTGTTCATGCAATTGCACGATTATATCGCACAAGTCTCTTGCCCCCGTATTTAACCCCAAATGTGACAACACGACCGTAATGTATGGTTACAAGAATGACAATCTTTACATATTTGGCTGTTTAATTTTGAGTCCAACTTAATTTTAACAGAGCTGGGAGAAAACAGTGGACTGTTACAGCCCAGGGCAAGGCTTGATGCCTGCTAGTTTCAAAGTTAAAACTATGCCTCTTGAGAAAGATAGCTATGAAGAAGTTTTAGATCCTGACTTCGGGGAATCGGCTATTGGGCGCGTTGCTCCAGTGGATTCAGGTTCGTAAATCCAGTTTTATGTGCAAGTAAAAGAACCGAGATTTTGAGAATTGCTTGCGCATTAGAAAACCATGGGCTCGATCCAAAATGTTAGTTATTAGCAGCATAATTAACCTGACCTTCTTCTGTTGTTTCTATGCTGGTGTCTTCACAAGGTTTGTGGTGGATCATCTTATTGCGGGCTTATGGGAAGCTCACTGGTGACTACAGCTTGCAAGAAAGGGTAGATGTTCAGACAGGCTTAAAAATGATCCTCAACTTGTGTTTGACGGATGGCTTTGACATGTTCCCTTCGCTTCTGGTCACTGATGGGTCTTGCATGATAGACAGGCGAATGGGTATTCATGGTCACCCCCTCGAGATCCAAGTGAGCCCAACTACGCTAGGCATTCACTCTGGTTTTTAATATCAAGTGCTGTGCCGTATTTTTTTGTTTTTAATCAGTTGTCACTGCTCACTACCCCATACTCTTGTTTTTATTTTATAATCGTTCAACATGTGATGAAACTGTGAGTTCAGGCGCTGTTTTATTCGGCCCTTCGCTGCTCCCGTGAGATGGTGGAAGTAAGTGACGGGTCCAGGAATCTGGTTAGGGCCATTAGCAACAGACTCAGTGCACTATCATTCCACATTAGAGAATACTATTGGCTGAATAAGAAGAGGATCAATGAGATATACAGGTATAAGACAGAAGAATATTCCACGAACGCCACTAACAAGTTCAACATATATCCAGAACAAATTCCTATGTGGCTGATGGATTGGATTCCAGAGAACGGTGGGTATCTGATTGGCAACTTGCAGCCAGCTCACATGGATTTTAGGTTTTTCATGCTTGGAAATATATGGTCTATTATTTCGGCTCTGGGTACCCCAAAGCAGAATGAGGCTATTTTGAATCTGATAGAACAGAAATGGGTCGATCTTGTGGGGCATATGCCTCTAAAGATATGTTATCCCGCGTTGGAGTCGGAAGATTGGCGTGTAGTTACTGGTTGTGACCCAAAGAACACGTAAGTTGTTCTGGTGATTTCTAATTCTTTGGCTTTCGCCTAACCGCGAGTAGTTTGTTGAATCCATTTGGTCTTGCAGTCAGAATTGCTTCCTCGGTTAACATCTTAGATTCATAGTTGATGTTTAACTTGTGCAGCCCTTGGTCGTATCATAATGGTGGATCTTGGCCAGCACTTCTGTGGCAGGTAAAGCTATCTCGTAACTGTAATGTGTTTGGAGGAAGGGGAGGGGGAATCAAAACATTAAGTTGGTCCATCTTTTGGTGTGCCCTAATGTCTCAGCTGTTGAGTCACTAATTTCTTCCGTAAAATGGTGTTATTATTGTTGTTGTTATGTTACTGCCTATAGAATTTATGGAAGAAACAAAAAGAATATGTACAGAAAAAATGCATGCATGGGAGTCATTTGCCTAACAGCATGGACCAAACTAACACTATTTGTAGGTAGCAGATAAACCTTCCAACACAAAACATTCATTCTGCGAACTGGAACAGGCTTCTGCAATTAATACTCGAGTCTCTTAACTAGCTGACTTAAGGGTTTAACAGCCAACTTAAACGCCCAGGTTTAGACCACCAATTCAAAGACTAATACTGTCATTTGCTGTGAAGTCTAGCAGTAAACTTATGTGTTCAACACTGTATTATAAACAAGTAAAAAATAAAAAATAAAAAAGAAGAAGCTTATTTTAGCTCTTCTGAGTAGACCAAGTTGCAGCCACCAGTCTGACTTGGAAATGATCATGCTGGTAAACAAAATCAGACGTGATTGTTAGATTTGAACAAAACCAAAAGGCCTCGGGAAATCAACACTCAACAGCATAAAAACAGTCTGATGAGTGATGAATGATTGTGAGGGCATTTTAAATTAACTATGGCTATATTATGATTATGCAATTAAAAGGTATGTTCGGTTGGGCTGGTGGATGTGTAGTTTACACTGGCATGCATGAAAATGGGGAGAGTGGACCTAGCGGAGAAAGCGGTGACTTTGGTAGAGAAGAGGCTGCCAATGGATAGATGGCCCGAGTATTACGACACCCGCAGCGGCAAATTTGTGGGAAAACAAGCTCGACTGTATCAAACATGGACCATAGCTGGCTTTCTTGCGTCTAAGATGCTCTTGAAGGATCCTGAGACGGCATCCTTGTTGTTCTGGGAGGAGGATTACGAACTTCTCGAGATATGTGTTTGCGCGCTCAACAAGAGCGGCCGGAAAATCTGCTCCCGTAATACTGCCAAGTCTCAGATTCTTGTCTGATCCCACACACCACCCCCCCCCAAAAAAAAAAAAATATCGAGGGCTCATTTTTTGTCCGAACCATACTGCTATAGTGTAGTATTGATATTGATAGGCTTTATTCAAGTTTGTCGTAAATCTGCCGTGCCCATGACTGAAGGCTTGTGGGTTTCGAAGACAGTTGCGAGACGCCATGCCAAGTTAACGAATTTAATGTTTGTTTTGATACTTGAAATTACCAAAATCTACCATCTTGCCTTTGTATTAGTGGCAGACATACCCACCGAGGGAGAAGGGAAAAAAAATGATCCCAACATCTAAATGTACGCTTGTATATAGAAAAAAATTGCATACGAAATCTTGGATTGATATATCTATTTAAATAGAAATAAAGTATGTATTTTATTAAAATATTTTTGTAGATTATTAATATTAAAATTTCACTAGCAGAAAACCAAGTTAGAAGAAGAATTTCTTATTTATTGGAGAAGTTGTTCCGTTCAACTTGTAACGGACTTCCCGCGTCTCAGTTGATCGTACTTGCTTGCTGAAAAACAAAGGAACGTCACCAGATGATATGACGGAAGCTTCACTTTTATGTCAAATCCAGCCTTCCTGTCATCCTCATGCTTGTTTTTCCTATATTCCGTTTTTGTTTTTTTAACCTTGATTGGGTTCGATTCTGCTAAAGTGTAGGCCCAATAAATCGTATTTGCTTGGGAGACTAGCGTGTCTCTCTGATCGCTAGCTTAAATCAACTTCAATTTCAGAAGGAACCCCAAAAAAGGATCGATCTCTTTTTAATGCGAAAGCGTAACTATGGGTTTGAGCACCGACTTACATTGCATATATAAGCATCGGATAAGAACAATAACCCGAAACGATGACAACAGATAGATAATTAGATATAGATAAATTATCATTAATAATAATATCCATAATTTAGAAAATCAGACCTCTTTCACTTCCACAGGCGCGGCTCCAGCTTCTTTACCTTCCTTTCCATCCTTCTGCTTCTCCTCAATTTCGAAGGCCGAAACTGGGAACGACCTAAAGAGCCCAGCGGGGGTCTTAAATGTAATTTTGCCAGTGGGAGGGTCATCCACAAAGATTTCACTGAGCGTGATCCAGACCAAAAGCTCCTTGGTCTTCACGCCATTGAGCTTCTTGATCTTGCCGTGCTCCACATGAGCAGTGACCTCAGGGGCGTAGGACACCAGCTTCCCTATCTTCTCGAACTTGTGCGTGGAGCTCTTCTTCTGCTTCAGCCACACGAACCCTGTTTCTCTCACATACCCGCACTCTTCCATGTCCTTCAGAGGCAAAAGCCCATTGGGTAGCCCTATTTCCTTCAGCAAAACTTTGGACTTCTCTTGACACAGTTCATCGCCATGGTACACCTCTGCTTTCGCTTTCAATTCCTGTGTCTCCAGAGACATTTTCAGATCGATCCCTCCCTCGCTGCCTTTCTCTACTCTCAAGTTTCCCTGATATTGGACGGGTTCATATAATTGCCCATCTCTGCAAATGCCCTTGACTTTCTCGTAAAATACAAAAAAGCCACTGCTACGTTCCCTCACGGTCTACAGTCTACACATTGTCATATTTTTTTAAATGCAAGATCACCGACAACCGTGCAAGTAAAAATATTAAGTTTGCAATTATAATATTTCTGCACTAAAAAATGACTCGTAAAAATAAGTAGCCAATTTATACATCTATTAATCAATTAACTTTTTTTTAAAAAAAGTTCAAATATGACCTTTTAATCTCTGATAACAAGAGTTTGATTTTATTGACTATCAATGAAGGGATTCATAAAAAAATTGTTGTAAATAATTGTGAGAACTTCAACAAAAAAAAAATTAAGTAGATGTTGGCATTGACTTTGAAAAAACGGCACTCTCAACAAAAATTGATGCCCAATTATATCTGAAAATTCAATGATGATACTAGGATAATGACTAAGTATATTATTAACACTTTAAACCAGTTTCCTTGATTATCAGGGGATGAGGCCTCGCACCTTATACTCTTTACTCTTGTAATATGTATCTCCTGTATGTGCCTTTTCCATTCAGTCGATGCAATCATTAGGTGATAGATCAATGGAATGGCACTTGTATGTTTGGATTCTACTTTTGTCGACCAAAACATTTTTAGAGAACGTTTTGCCTTTAAAATGTTACTACCTTTAATTTCAATCAAAAATGTTCTCGTAGATCAATTTTAATTTCAATCCAAATGAGAATCTAAAATTTTGCTGCCTTTAAATTAAAATTGTGATTATTTTATGAAAAAATTAAATAAAAGTTTGTTTTTGGCAAAATTATTTGAGAAAAATCAAAAAAATATTAAAGGAACACGAGAGTGTTGTTTGAATAAAATATTTTTAATATAATAAATTTTCTGAGTATCGGGCAGAAATAATTAATGAGCATCCCATATATCAAATTAATGTCAGCTAGTAACTACTTGCGTACAAGAAATTTCAGCAAAATATTTATTTGATCGGGTCAAAATAAGTTGATATTTAGAACGTATAATTAGTCCGCCCCCAACAAACTTAGCCAATCCAGAGAGAAGGCAAACAAAAGGGCATGGCCACGCAAACAAAAGAGGCATTCAGGGATCAAGGCATTAGGGGCGGCGTCCCTGTTTTATGTTATACTTTCCTGTTTCCATTTACAAAGTAGAGGAAAAAAAAATTATTTTCACCCTATTTATAAAATATTTCAATAATTATTATATCTATCTCTATTATTTTATTTTTATTCAATGTTAAAGAGATCATCAAATATTAAAATATTTTATTTTTAGAGCAAGTATTTAATAAGAGTAAAATAAAAAATTTGTTAAATTTTAAGATAGAGCTAATAATGTTTAAAATTTTTCTTATAAAAATATTATAAATAACTTATAAATAGAACCAATGAGAGGGGGATTGAACAAAACATAGTACTCCCTGCAAGTCATTAGGCATATCTAATTATTCATCAAAATTAAGGAAAGTTAATCAAGTTATTAAGATATTAACTTTATCTAAAAATTAAATGTTCTAATTTTATCCTGATTTAAATGAAAATTTTTTAAATTTATATTATATTATCTATCATAATTAATAAATTTAAATAAAGACAATATTGAAAAGAATTAATTAATATATATTAGGAATTAAATTTTTTTAAAAGACGTGATTTAACAGGGGAATACAGGGAGTACTTCATCGTGTTTAAGATATATACCATTTAATAAATTTTATTATTTTCATGTTTAGAAATTAAAATATTTCGTGCATGTTTATTATATAAAATTATATCAACACGCTCTGTTAAAAAATATAAGATATTTTAAATTTTTAAAGATATAATTAATGATTTTTTTAAAAAATATTTTTAATTAAAAGATTGAAATTAATAATTTTTTTAATTAAGACATTCTATTAAATAAAAATAAATATAAAAGATGTATAATTTCAAAAATAATTAATTAATTTATTGATAACGTAATTCAATTAGAAAAACTAGAGCGGTATTTTTATTTTATTTTTGGGCACTGTGGACCGAATGACGACGGAGGGGTGGTGGGGTTGACAATTGTTATAGAATTAATGAATGAAAGAGTAAATGAAGGGGGAAAAGAGGTAGGTTGTTGGACGGGACATGTGGTAGGACATCCTGCATTGAATAACCCCCTCAGCTCATCCCACCCCTTCGCCCATACCAGCATTTGTTTGTGGTACTCTTCTTTAATGTCACGTCGCACAAATTCCTATGTCTTATTACAATTCATCACTTTGAGGTTATCAGAACTGCAGTTTCCAGCTTTAATCGCCTTGCCTTGAGGATGCCTAATAATTTCGTCTCTCTAGTTTGCTTACAATAACTGAACGCATGGAGAGCGTTGGGGACACCCCCGGCTTTGTTTGCTTTTGCTTAATCAAACATACCACGTCTGTAGGAACCTGCTAGATTTGGCTGCAAATGGAGGACTTGCTTGTCTATACCACAAACAAGGAAAACCAGACGCATGACTTTCTCGTTTCAATTATGAAAACTACACTTTAAATTTTTTAATGAAACAACTAAATAATTATAAACAAAAAGTGGTTAGGTGGTGGCTTTCAATTAAAGACAGACAAACAATAAGGAGACCGGTGTGTAAATTTTACCAGCTAACGACCATCTACCCTTGTACCGATCATACCGCTGCCTCCTTTACCCTAGAAAGATATATGTAAATAACACAACCAACTCTTCATTGAAGTTTGATATGATGTATAATTCTGCCCAAAAAAAAAAAATCTAGACCCAAAGGGCGGGGAAACAAGCGGAAGATAAGATCTATAACTAACCCTAGCATTCCGAGTATTCTTCCTCATCTCTCATTAATTGTAGCACTCATTGGAGTTTCTTTTCTTTTCTTTTCTTTTCTTCTTCTTTTTTTTAAGGCAAGTCTGACACGTTTTCTTGGAAGGAAAGGAAACCGCCGGGACATGTGGTGTCACAGTACTAGTAGTTGGATACCCCTCACGGGTCCATTTGATTACTGCTTTAGGTTGATCACATTACATGTGCAAACGTTTCCCCTAATCCGAAGGTCGAGTTTAAGTGACAACACACGGCTCCATTGACACTGACGTCCATGCCCTCAATAATCTAACCTAACGATGACAATGACTAAGATCAATATTTTTTACCCACCGTCAGAAATTAACAAGATTGTTTCAGTTACAAGGCAAAATAAAAATTACCTTCAAGGTAATTTGTTTCTGCGACAAAACCAGTACTTTCTGCTCAGTGTCTCTAAGGCATTAGCATCAAAACTGAATTGTACACATTTTTCCTTCCTCGGCAAGATGGCGACAAGCAGAAGAGCAGTGAGAGATTATAAATCTGTCGAGCCTACTTGACCTATTGCAGAAAACGATTTAGGAAGTCCTTGATCACATCGATGTACGGAGACCGGGTAGGAATCATATGACCACAATCATGTTCAACAATAACCGAACTACGGCCATCATAAAGAGAAGCAAGTTCCTTGCTAGCTTGGTTGGCTATCTGCCTGTCTTTACCATGTTCATTGCCATAAATGTGAAGAGAAGGGAGTTTGATCAACTCGCAGTCCATCTCCTCCTTATGGACGACAAAGCCTGAGCACAAGATTGCGAATCTGAAGTCCATTTCACCCTTACGCTTCTCTTGTGCAGAGATTAATGCGGCCATTGCTGCTCCCTGTGAAAATCCCAATATTCCATCAAAAGGCCCTTCTTGAGACAAGAAAGCCTTCAAATGAGCTATTGAAATATCATATCCATCAGTTTGCCGCTGGTATTGAAGCGGATCAAATGGGCCATCTGCCACCTTCCAATCAGCTATCCCTCCTGCGTCAAAGTTGGGTGCCACAAACCATGCAAATTTCTTCTTACAGCTCGCCGAAGGTGGAGGAGGACTTGAGGGCAATGAAGTTGATGCACAATTCATATGATGATCCGATACTAGTGGCTGATAAATATATGGTAACTCATGAGGGGCATCTATAAAAAATAAGTCAGCAATTTTCTTAAGTTTTTTGGCCAATGATGCTGTTCTTCCTTTAAAACTTGATGCGTTCTGCCGAAATCCATGTAAGCATAAGATCCTGAGTTTTCTTGCTGACCTGACATCTGCAACATTATTTAGCAAGCTATAGCATTTAATCACCAACTCTAGACAAAGGATAAACAAAAATTTAGGAACTCCTCAAGAACAATACATTCCTTAGATATGAACAATTAATCAGACAAGTGGAATATGTCAAGTTATCAACCAAACCAAACTTTGAACACCTACTAGTCTGGTTACTTGTTTCTACCCCAAAAAAATTGCTGCAAGCAATTTCTAAATTGAAATATAATAATTTTCCTCCAAAACAATTCACTACTCGACAATTGTAGGTTAGTCATCAATTAACTGGACAACAATTTGACAGAAAGTAGGGAGCAAAGATTCCTCAGATAATATGGATCACAGACCTTACCCTTTTTCTGAGGCATTTGGGATGAGAAAGTAGTGTCTAAGGGAACCGTTTGAAACTCAACATCTGGAAGTGACTTTTCTGCTTCACCAGTTTCGGTTAGCTGCAACATCCTAACAGCCTTACCCTGTTTTTGGCATAACTCACAAACATAGGGTGCAGCTTCATCCTAGTGGACCACAATAACACAATTCAGAAGCAAAACAACAAAATGAAATAAAAGGAGAAAAAAAAAATGTTAAGCCAGATATTAAATGGTTTTGGAAGAACTAATTTTCTAGAGTGTCAATTTATGGCGATGGTGCAAATTATTGGATCATGCCTGACAACTATTGCAGACCAAAACAAGCATTCTGCAACAAGCACATCGGCACCGTGAAGAATAATCATCAAATGAGCTTCCACAAGTAAGGCAGGTACCAATAACGTTTGCATCTGAGCTCCCAACAGATATCCTACAGTCATAGTAAAAAAAGGTACAGATTTGTCCAAATATTGGCGCAACAACCCGTTCAATTTCAACTGTTTTCAAGTTACCATTTCACCACTGAGCAATCTAGATTCTCGATTATCAATATATCCAGTAAATCCATCATTACAGCAAAAGCATCGAAAGTCATTGCCACAGATTATAAATAGCAAGTGAAACAAAACAAAGAAAAAGTGTCCAAGATATCAAATTGTCATTGAAATTGACAGAGTTAGCAGTAAGTTAATGGGACAATACTCCCAAATGGTAAAGCCAATCAATAAAATCATGAACTGCTGCAGAACCACGGTGACCTTTAAGATTATACATGTATGATTGACATTGAGCCTTGTCCACATATAAATTGTCAATTTAGTTAGCCAATTAAATTTATGTATTTTAATATGAGAATGGTAACAGAAGAGCCTGGGCATTGCAGACTCAAAAAAAAAAAAAGGTGGAAAAATGAATAGAAAAGATGGCTTGATGATAGTAGCAATCAAAGTGAAACTAATATCAGAACTTATGATAAAAACAAGGAAAAGAAATTGAAAAGATCATAGGAATCTAAAAAGGTTATAAAACATTCAAAACGTTTAACAACCAACAAAAGAAACAAATGAACTACTGTACTAAATTATTCATGAAGAAGAACAGCTACTGGAATTCTATTCTAATCAGCAATTAACAAATAACAAGTGACAATAAAATGCAAGAATAAAAAAATCATACCGGTGATCAAAAACAAAATTCTTTCCTTTAAAGAAACCACCATCAGGATATTGCTCCATGTATCGTTGTATCCCACCAGATAGCTGAATTGACCAGAAGTGAGAAGGAATACATCAAAGGTAGTCTCAATGGGAATAGCTTATGATCATGAATCATGATACAAGCCAAAATCATGTTAACAACAAATTTTCCACAGAAAATTAAGTAGAGGGCAGGCAGGTGCAGCTCAACCCATGTTAATCAAGGAGCATACCTGAAACACATTCTCAAAGCCCAGACCTTTTGATCTAATATATGCTGATGCCATTTCACATCTGATTCCGCCAGTGCAGTACCTGCAATAAATCAACAAGTTACATCACATGCCATAATTTACTGAGATAATTAACCACAAAAGTAATCACTACGTGACAAAATGTCATGTTCTATCCCCAAATCACCATATTTTGCCATTTGCATGAACATATACCTGAATAATGCTTCAGACCAAGGATTTTCCCAAAATAATATGCAGTATAAAAGGGAGTCCTTACATGAGGATTTGCTTCCCTTTCAATTGATCATGATTACCATCTATCCATGATGGCAAATCGCTGTATTGTCTTACTTGTGGATCCAAAGTTTCAACATTTGGGGCATGAAATTTCCCAATTCTTGTCTCATAAAGATTCCTTGCGTCAAGTAAGACAAGGTTGTCTGCTGGACTGTCCTTGGCTTCAAAACAATGATATAAAGAAGATCGAGATTTGAAATATTAAGATAGGTAAAGATACAAGAAATACAATGCAGGAAAGGTGAAAATGGACTACACTTGTGGAAATGATATGCGTCAATGCAAAGCAAGTTGCAGCTACTTACCAGCATTCTGTAGGACAGAATGAAACTCAGCTGCAGAGAGATGTCTTCCAGCGTTTGAAATTTCTGGTTGTTTTAGCAAGGGATGGGAACTAAGAGTAACCAGTTCCTATAAATAGGAACTAACATATTACTGAGAAATGCAGAAACTAGCTATAATGTCTAGATTTCCAAGTTTGTGTCCCAGCACATCGAAAATAATCGATTACAAGTAGCAACAGCTTAGCAAGATAAAGGGAATGGCAAATCATAGATTAGAAACTAAAAATCATATTTTCATATGGGATCATGAGTATTTATTAATTACTTCTCTAAAGCAGCAGTACAGTAACTGTGTAGTTGTTAAAATAATAATAGCCTTTATAATAAGTAGCTTCCACATCTAATCGATCGATGTCCCACACGTTAAAAAATAATAATGATAATCAACTCTGCTGAAGTAATGGGTTGTTGCATTTCGAATAGTTTCTTGCATAATTTATCCTTTCATCAGAGATTGGAGCGCTTCTTTCTTCTTTTTCTTATATATTCAGCTGAAAAGTTATCCAGACTTCAGAGACTACTACGGCCAAACATCTGGTGAGTTCTAATTAGTACTTATAACATTAATTACAGATGCCCATGTAGCGCTCACTATCTCAAATGCAGGGGTTTTGTATACACACAAACAAATTCAACTTACTAAAAACGAAAATATCAACGAAAATTACCTTGACAATTCGAACTGAGAGAGAGGTAAAGCCGCATTCTTTTGCAATCTTGTCGTTCAATGGTTGATGACAAGCAGCAAGCTTGAAATCAGTTCCTTCAAATAAACTATTACCATTGACTGTTTCAACGTGTCTTTCTAGAGAGGCTAACTTACCACCAACCTAATGATACCCAGTTGGAAAAGAGAAGAAGAATGAATGACAAAACGTAATGATGAAAAAAGAGAAGGAAAAATAAGAATGCATAAAAGGAAAATGCGAGATGACAATAAGGGAAATTACAGTGACATTGACGCCGTGGGAGGAGATACGAACGCGACCAAGGAGGCCAAGGGAGGAGCAGTTAGACTCGTAGAAAGTGAGGAGGTGGTCAAGGTTAGGAAATTGAGCATACTTATAGTAGAGGAGGACGCCGTATTGGTCTGTGCAATCCTTGTTGTCAGACATGGTTTAAGGCAAGGATTTATTGCATCGGAACTCCCAATCACACGGCCGTCATGGACAGTATATGTGGGCGTGGGGTGCGATCGCTGACGCTCGCGCCGCCACACGCGACACACCGTTTACGTTTGGTTCCAGACCCGAGTGAGCTGCATAGCCTTGATCCTCGCCCACTCGGCCTAAAGTCCATCTAAAAATTGCGACCCACACAAATTTGGGCTTCACTAAGTTTGTCTTTTTGGTTTAGAGGAATGAAAACACAACGCATTCCCATCATCTTCTCTTTCTCTGTCTCAGTATAAGACCATTATCTACTATTACATTAATATAAATATAAACTGGGATGTGGTTTTATCTTTAGTAATAATCAGTTACTAAACAAACACTCAAATTAATTTTCCAACTAAACAGTGTGATCCGGTGAGAGGAACCTCAAAAATTACAAAATTAATTTTCCAACTAGTTAGCAGACAAATGCTCAACCTATTTGCATTTGCATAGAATTTGAAATGAGACTTTTATAAATGATGATATTTTCCATGATTGTTATGTGCCACACTAATATTGCTATTTTTATAACTGCTATTATTTTTCATGCCACGGAAAATATCACCAAAAATAACGTAATAATTTTGTTCGCGAGACACTTGATCCCATCTGGATTCAGCAAATTTAAAATCCAAGTGTAGAAACAATTTTTGGGGGTGCGGGTTTATCATTTTGTTCGCCATATTGGACCAATCTTTTTGATATGCAAAATAAAAATGGAGCATCCGTTCTTGGAGCATGAATTATGGAAACACTGCCAAATCTATCTTGACAAAACTTTTTTCTTTTCTTTTTCGTCCAGGCCTCTTCCAACGGCGAGAAAATGAGCCCAAGCATTGCATGGAATGGTAAAATTTATTTATTTTAAATATTAAGAGTAGTTTCAACCAACAAAGAGAAATGTTTTCCCTTAGATATTAAGAGCAGAGCCATGTCTATTGTTAGGCAATTAAAGGATTTGTCTCCAGCCTAAAGAAATATTTGCTTATACCGATCATTATTTTTACAATTAAATATTAATATTAATTACATCTTCACATTAAAAATTTATTGTCCCACGTTTCCTTACACCTATCACTTCCGTTTTCTAAGGAAGGTGATATTCTTATATGAGATGGATGGGAATTACTCTGCTAGCATCTAACAATTCTCATCTATCCCTTCCTCTGAATAGAATTGCTGCTATCATCGTTTTCTTCCTAAAAACAAATATTACTCTTCTACTCAAACTTGTAAATTGTCGTTCATTTGCTGAATCACTTCCACTTCGTGGAATGTGCTTGCTGTCTAATTGAAATTAAATCTGAAAACACTAATCATAGATCTAATATGCCAACCACACTGTGTGTGTTTGTTCCACTTTTACTTGTTGTTTAAAAGTGCAACTATTTGAATTTTTATAGCATTTGGAGTGGTGGAAAATGTCAAATAAAAATTTTGAATATATCAAGTCTTTTAAATAATTCTATCTTGATTCCCAAAACTTTTTCACATAGCCCTAATTGAGTGTAACAATTAGATCTCTCCAAATTAAATTGTTGTATGTATAAAGGTTGTAATCGGAATTCTCATATTCTTGTTCTATTATAAATTATAAATACAAATTTAATTATAATAAATCATGAAGAAAGAACCAATCTAGGTAAACTAAACATTGATATGAATATGAAATATGTCACGGAAGATGACACAATTCCTCGTAAATCTCACCGGTTTGTAGAAAATATTTACATATGTGATAAAACTTAATATTTTAACATATTGTTTCTATAATTTTTATTATATGTTACTGATTAAATAAAAATATAATTGTAAAGAAAATTATTTTGTCCAATTTTAATGTTTGTTTTCTAAATCACTAAATGCATAATAATTTAAATTCTAAAGTGGAAGAAAAATTATAATGAAAATGGAGGGAAGCAACGGGAAGGGAAATAAAAGATTCATGAATAAATTTGGAAATTATTTTTTTCTCAACATTTTCTCATATTTAAAAAAAAAATAGAGATAAAACGTCTCATGTATTATTTTCTTTTCAGTTTTCTCTCATTTGCTTCTCATTTCTATCTCTATAGCTAACTAGGGATGAAATGTTTTATCCCCACTTTAGATTCTAGAGGAGGTGGCCGAATTTGTTAAATCTAATCTCATTGATTATGCAACTAAACTTGATATCTCGATCACGGGGGTAAGCTTGACATAATTAACTACCACTACAGCAAACCTCAGCTTCCATGACACCGATAAAGAAAATTAATTGTAATGATGTGTGGTTAAAATTTTCAATATAAGATGCTCATTCCTTCCTTAATTATAAGGTATTATTGAAAAAGATTTGTTGTCCTGAATTATAAGATATTTTGATAAAAATAATATTTTATTAATAATATTCATTATATTCTCTATTCTTAATATTCTTTTACAAATAGAATATTAAATAAAGAGTATTTTTAGAAATTTATATTCTTGTTTTTAAAGAAACATAAATATAAATATAAAGTTTATTTAATAAATTTTATTTTTGGCCAAAAAAATTAAGGGAGAAATACATTCTGGTCTCACACAAAAAAACTAATTACTATAAAATCTATTGATAATTGAACTAAGACTATTGAAGTAAAAAATTATTGATATATTTAATTTTGTATGAAACACTTTTAGATGAACTCATATGTTAATAAAGCTCATTAAATATATTTTACAATTGCTTTTTCCAAACAAAAATGTAATCTTTTAAAAATATTTTTTATTTAACACTTCATTTATAAAAAAAATGAAAGAGAGGAAATATGAAAAAGAATAATATTAGAAAAAAATATAATTAATAAAAATTTATTTTTATCAAAGTACATTACATCTTGTGAATTGAATTTTTTTAAAAAATGTCTTATAATTTATAATAGATGGAGTAGATGATATTCACACCAATTGATTCTGAGTCTTAGATAAACACACAAATGCCATCACATAAGGGGGAAGCTGAAAGCTGGTAGCCATTGATGTTGAGGAAATAAATATATAAAATAATAAACTACCGTATTAGTTATATTTTTAGTATAGACATTTGATATCCAAAGTCGACAGCCCCCGGCAATCTAAATTTGAGCATTATGGGGATCCAAATGGGGTGGCTCTCTCAAATATATTTTCTTCACTCCTAAAGCCCCAAAGATCAAACTCAAGAATTGATGGTTAAGCAAATTCAGACTCATTACCATCTAAGCCAACATGCATTGCTAACCACTGTATTAGTTATTAACAGGAAAGACGACAATTTCAGCCTTTGATTTCACCATTTTATTTTGTTTTGGGCTTTTTTTTTTTTTGCCAAAACGTCGTCCTAAGCTCACACATAACACATAATAGAATACAAAGCATTTTAAGTAAGAGAAAAATTTAGATTCTTAGTCTTATTATATAATTTACTTTTATCCTAACAAATAAAAAAATTTTAACGTATTAATGATATTAATAATAAGAATTGATCATATAAGAGATAATTTGTAAACAATAATATATTTTAATTTAATTAAAAAATAAGTATTTAAATATATAAAACTAAATATATAAGTTTTTTTCTTTAAATAATCACATTATAATCAATTTAAAATGAAAATATAGAATACTACCAATTGCCGAGTAAAAACTAGAGGGCCGTCGTGGCCAAAAAGTTTGATTGGCGCGTAAAATCACTATCCAATATCTTATATCTCTCCTTTTCAACTTTTTATTAGATGACGACTCGATGGCACTAACAAGCAGACGAGGAGAGTGTGTGTGTGTTCACAAGAAAAGGAAGTTAGGCGCTAATGTCAAAAATATTTTGTTTGGTTATAAAAACTTTGAAATTTGAATAATTCCCTCCCAAGAGAAATCCTTGGAAAAAAGATCTGGACAAAAAATGTAGGGAAAAATAAATGAATGTATATCCGTCTTACTCTTACCTGAGTGGAAGAGGCCATGCAAATTTGTTCTCGTATCCCAGCAGGCACACCGGTGAGTAGTAACTGACGGGAAGTTTGATCTGGATATAATTATTAGAATATAAAAAAAATCTAATATATAAAGAAAATAGAAAAAAAAAAAGAAAGAGAAAATAAAAGGATGAATGATGAAAAAAGAAGAAGGATAAGGACAAGGAGAAAAAGAAACAATTATATAAACTTAAAACTTTGAGATTTAAAAAAATACAAAAAAAAAAAATCACCACGTGATCTGCAGTCTACACCCCACCGTCTCATTTTGACTAATAAGCAAACACAAGCCGGAGCCTCTCCCTCCATCCCTCCCTCCCTCCAAAAATTGAAAAATTGAAATCTGATCACCAAATTCACAGCTGGATCTCTTCAAACTTTCCATCCAATGGTCCCCACTACTTCCATCCACCAGTCAGATGTATGATTCCAAACACACTATGCTCGCCCCATCCATCATCATTACCATCTCTATAAGACTCACACCCCCTTCTCCCAACAATTCACGCCGCAATGCCCTCAACCTGCAGCAAAGACAGCCCCACCACTGCTCACCACCCCACGGCTGGTGCCTGCTCCCCTTCAGCTTTCCGGTGGTTCGATTTCGACTTTTCACTCAGATCGTCGCCGATGCGATGGACGGGCATGTTCGGGTCCTACATCTCGCCTCCCAGGCGGCCTGCCTCTGGCTCGGGCTTCCGTTGGAGGCTGACGGACTGGTCGAACCTCCTCAGCCTCTCCATTGTGGACGACTTCATCTGGGGACTCGTCACCGCCTTCGAGTCCGTCTGCATCGTCTCCACTCTCTGCTTCTTCTTCTTGTTCTGTGGCTGTACCGTCTGAAGTGAACAATCTCTCGCAGGGATTCTGTGCCTATGAAGTGGTGCCGACATCGTTTTTGGCCAGACAGGTTTGGGATTCTACTGGGCGGAGCCATCGATGTTGCCGAGAGCGAAGCAGAAAGGTGGAGTGACTTGGGCCACCGATGCGCCCGGATTTCCTTATTTTCCGTTTTTTCTTTGGGTTTCCCCCATTTTTCCCTTGGGGGTGATTTTGTTTCCGTTTCCATTTCTTTTTTCCCCAACCTTTTATGTTCATTTGTAGTGGAAATCTGCATAGCAGCTGGGGGAAAACATTCCCTCGCTAGATTATGGCGAGCATTTGGCTTTGGATCTTGTAAATATTTCGTTCAGAGAAGAGCAGAATAGTGGATTTCCCATTGCCAGTGGCGGATGTACATGCAGTTGAGGGGGACAACTTGGAAAAAGTTATAAAAAAGAGCTAGGATTTTTAAAAATTTACCTTCATTGATCTTATAATTTTGAATCTCTAAACTTAAACTAAAATTTTGCGATAAAAAATATTTAAATTTTTATATTTTACTCAAGTTTTATTACTCGATTAATTCACTGAATGGAAGGAAATGTAAAATATCAAAATAAAATAAAATATAATAATAATTACATGTATTTGTTTAATATGTTTATATGATGAATATATTTTTTATAATAAAAAGATATCAAGAGAATTATGAAATGACTTTTCTATCCTCACTAATAAAAAATCCCTATCTTCCTTTTCTTCTGACAACGCCTTCCTACTTCGTTTTTTTCCCTATGAAACACAACATCAACTTCCTTTTATGCTAGCACAAATTGCACACAACAAAATCAAACTCAAAAACTCATAACATGAAAAATCAAGTTAAAGATGATGAAGATTATTGACTTGATTTTAATCTAAAAAGTCTGAAAAACCCAAAAACCCACAACATATGAGATCTTCTCAATGGCATTGTGGTAGGAGATGAAGGTAGTAGAAGATGTAGGAGATGTAGGGTATGAGAAAGAAAGTTGTTGATGGAGGAGGATATAGGTGGGATGTCGGTGATGGTTGGGATGCCATTAATAGAGGAGGGTGGGAGTGCCATCGGAGAAGGAGAGTAGGTATGACGACAAGAGAATGGGGGTATTTTGGTACAAGGGTAGATTTAGGATAGTGAGAATAACGATTACAATGGTCTGATAATGTAAATCCTATTACACAATTTGATGTAATTCTTTTTACAAAATGTAATTACCTTTACATTGCAATGGACCAATCAAACAATATGAATCAAAAGAGTATATGAAGATTACATGTAATCCTCTTTCAATGCATCGAATCAAATGACCATAATAAATTTTAATTTTAAATTTATTATATTTAAATTTATATTACTTTTATAAAAATATAATTTTAATTTTTCTTTCTAATATGTTACAAAACTGAAGTCAAACTAAATAATATATATCCTTAATAAAAATGAAATCTAAAATTTTAAAGCATGGAAAAATAAAAGAAGATTAAAAGACAAAAAAAAAAAGAGAAATCTTTTGCTAGAGAAAGACTAAAGATAGAGTGAATGGACTAAAACTTTTAAGGTATATAAATATTTATTTTTTATATTAAATTTTTATTTTTTAATTGTTTTTACATTTTATGTAATTCATGCTTCCACTGGCTCAAGGTTTTGTATTCACCATTGCCCATAGCAATATTGTCCACGAGTGTAGAATTATGAATGGCAAAAGCAGGGAATTATGAATAGTGGATTCCAAACGCTGGGGTTCAATTTCGACTTCGAGGACAACAACGACTGAAACAAAGTGCAATCATTACTAAGGGTGACTGCTTTTTTTTTTTTTTTTTGGGGGGGGGGGGGGGGGAACATAAAACCATGTTAGAATACAACATCGCTCTAAATTTCAATGGTTATGTATTTCATAGAACATCCTCAGCTGTTTTGAATAATGCAAGTTTGGTTCTGTGCAAAGGAGAAAGGGCACACAAGCATAGGAGCATGTCGGTTGCGGAAACAGAGCAACCGCCAATTAATCAATCAATTGTTGATTAATTTATTGAAGCTTATCAAAATTTATGCGCAAAGCGAAAAACACGTCTGAATTTTTGGAGGACTCTCCCACAAATCATTCATCAGTAATGAAGGAGTTAAAAGAGTTCACAAGTTATCTGCAGTTGGAAAACATATTTGGTCAAGCTGTTTCTGATTCGGATTCATTCGTGCATCTTCTATCCTTGACCTTCCCACCTCAACAGATACTCAGCCGTCACTCATTAAGCATAAAATTTGTCGATGGTGTTTCAAGTGACGATTCCATTTTTGTGAGGTTCCATTGGCAAATAACTCTTGATTTTCTTTTGGTCTCATCTCTCATGCCTCTCTCCGGTTCTAGCTGAAGTCAAATTGAGGGCCTTATTGGTCCATGTGTATTCTCCCTTGTGACTTTGGGAGCCCAATCATTGGCCCAATAATTTGACCCCGACAAAAGAGGCCTTGGTTCTCCAAACGCTTTTTCTAGTTTGGACTTAGCTCCCTTTTTTTGGGCCAACGACTCGGCTCCGCCATGCTCCACAGAAACTCAACTGTTTTGAAATTTCTACTGTTGTTCGGTCAACCTCATTCCTCAGCCACCAATGCAATAATTAATGAACAGGATACATCGATCAAGCAAACGGGTGTCTTCGTATTTTAAATTTAAATTTCATATACAATAATAAGTAAGATTTGTGACTGAACAATTGAAATGAAATTTATCACTTTTCATGCCGCCCTTATTCATCCCTTTTTAGTTGGCCGTATCAGACGTAATGTAATCGTTGTTCGTATGTTGCAATCTCACAATTTTTAGAGCTCATTTATTTTAACTTATTTTATAAAAAATTACTTATTTTTTAAAGTTATTTTATTAGTCTTTATGATATTTTTTAAAACTTTTTAAAAAAATCAGAATTGAAAAAAAGTAAATTTTTTGATTATTTTAAGAAGCTATTCTAAGTAGTTTTTAAATATAATCTAATGTGATAGATGAGAGAGGGTGTTTTAAAAATGTCATAAAATAAAAATTTAATATAATAATATCATAAAATTTTAATATAATAATAAATTTTTTTATAAAATAAAATCAAGAAAGATATCATAAAATTTAAAAATAACTAAATATAAATCACTTTTTTATTATTATAATCTAATTTAAAATAATATGTGCTTTTTATAAAATCTTTACAAAATAAATATTTTTATTATAAAATCTATAAATTACTTAAAAATTATTTATTTTTTTAATTTTAAATAAATGGGTCTTTAGTATCAGCAAATATATTAATAATTAAAGTAAAAATGAACTTAAATTTTACCTCACAACTCGGAAGACAAAACAGTTGGCCTTACTTCTGTTGACGGAAACAGTTCGCATTGAGGTTGAGGGAAGCGGAGGATTTAAGCCTCAGATGGGGCCCACCGGTTTCCATCCTCATAAAGCCCACGTGTGCCCGGTGACATTTTGGGCCCAGTCCAACTTAGACGTAGTTCCCTGTCTCCAGTACAGGTCGCCCTTCTGTTTTTGAAAAGTCTTTTTTTTTTTTAATAACGGTGATAATTCATTAACTCTCTCTTCGAGATTTTATTTAAAGTGGACTTTTTATTTTATTTTATCAACGAACCAGCAAGATGAGGAAGGCCAAATTTTTTTTTTTTTGGGAATAACAGATGAGGACAGTCAATAAGATGAGAACCAAAGAGCAATAGTATTTCTTTAAATAATTTATTGTTATTATCGTGTGATTCCTATTTTCAAAAAGGTGTGCAATTTTAAAATTTTGAAAATAAAAATAGCTAAGCAATTTCATAATTATCTCAAAAAAATTTTTATGATTATGGTTCGCGAACTTAATAATGATGTCTAACCCAAAAAAATAATAATGATGGTGGTGGCATCCAAAAATGGAGTTTGTTTGACACACATTTTGTCGATAACTGGGTTTGGGCCCAGCCCAATGTGAGGGTCCTTGTTGGCGGCATTAGAGTGGTGTTGCTGGACTGTGACAACTCAAAAGCGATTTTAAATTTGTCGTTTACCAAACCATTCTCTTTCCCCGTCCAATCAATTGGAAAAGAAAGGCTGCGCTAACCCTGCATGCTAATCCATTTTCGATTGCCTTTTCAGCTTTGGTTTTTTTGGCTCATCCTCTGCCAAATCAGCTTTAACTCGAAAGGAATCAAGAACTTTAGGATTCAACAACGGCTTCAATCTAAACCTTTAACATTAATGTCCCTCAGTAGCAGGGGGTCAACATTTGAATATTGGCATCACAATAACAAGGAACCCCAAAAAAAAAAAAAAGGCGACTGGAAAAGAAGCCAAGATGTGTCTACAACATGTGGACAAGTCGGTGCGGTTTAATTAGCGAGGCAACATAAGCAAACAAAGGGGTCTTATCCAAATTATGATGCTTTAGGCACCAAAAGGCTCCGAATCTTATAATTACTTCACAAGCTTGTGCCGGGTGAACAGTGAGCGAAGTGCTTCAAACACGACAATTCAATGTCAAGATTTCGGAACCATGTGAGCCTCAGGGTGAAAGCAAGCTCTTACCCTTTTCAACCAAACACCCATCCATGCCTCGAGCTGACGGTTCCGTTCACCTTTTGCACCGAAAATTCAACGGCAGGGACACACCTAGGCAGCTATCTCTTAAAATGGACCACCTACACTTTTATCTAAGAGCTGTGTTGTGTTACTGTTGGGTTATTCAATTGATTGGAACTGTGAAGGACACCTGCCATGAAGTCCGTCCGATTTATGGATCCAGGGTATCCATTGAAATACATCATCATTGCCATGGATGCATTCCACTATCCCTAGTTTTTCCCCTTACGGAAGATATATTCCAAAAAATTAGGCTGATGTTTGCCCTCAACAATAAGCCAGGCAGCGGCAAAGAGGAAAGAGAAGAAAATAGGCGGCTTCGTAAACGGAGGCACATGGAAGCACGTGGAATGTGGTGACTACTGGGAAATGCAAAAAAAGGAATGTATGGAAGAGCACGAAATGAGAATGGAATTCTATGGTATCAATTATAAACAAAAATAAAGAGGAGTGGTCCCAAACCACCTTGTATAAATTTATAATATGACTGATAGGGTAGTCACCATCCAGAGCGTGACAGTTGGATTGTCAAGGTTCCTCACGTGGCAGGCCTTAATTAAGAAATGGGAATTCCCTCGAAAGAGGCCAATTGTTCACCCACTGAGGTGGGGTAGGTCCCGGAAAGACTCTGTCTAGGACCTGACCCCGTAATTGTCCGTGTCCAAGAACAAACAATGCGGACGCAATTCATTCAAAAAAGCGAACGGGCAATTTTCTTCTTAAATAAACAAACAAATAAATAAATCCCCATGTGATCAAAGTTTTCTTCTCGCTCACATTCTCACATGCAAGCCAATATGTGGGGCCCTGTGGGTTTGATATTGTAGGGCCACGGAGGCTCCCCCTTCGTACTCATCGTCCTGTTAACCCACTTTCAATCTCACCGATAACCAACCAAACCTGCAACACCGCATTATCTAACTCGCGCATAATCATAACTCCATCATTTTATAAGGGCAAGGCAATTTTATTTCATTCGTGAAGATGCGGTGCACCAGCTAGCGATTTTAAAGCGCAAGGTTGTGTCGGTTCACTTCTGACGATCTTGCGTGAATCTCTCAATCTGGATGAAGCGTGATTTTGCATTCCACAGACTATTAAGATAATTGTTTGCAAAGAGCGAGATGCAGAGTCAAATTGGATAACTTTTAAATGGGACGGAAACCGTACGGTCCACCACCGCTTCTGCTGGTGACAGATTTTTTGCCAACAGAAGCCACGGACAATTCTTTAAATAATAATTGACATAACCATCTATCAATCAAATTATTATTATTACTACTTTAATAGGATAGTATAAAGGTGATCATGTTCATATGACATCCTTTTCTGTCTACAAATTCGATGCATGTTCCTTAAAATTGAAGTCCTGCCTTTTATTTAAGGGCTGTCCTGTCGCTTTAACTTTCAACTCCCAGCGGGAAGCACCTTCAAGGGTGAAAGGCCGGTACATATAGAGAGGTCCAGGCGCCATGTACCACGCACGACGACACTACACTGCTAAATCCTGGGCTTAATACCCAATTATTCAAGGTCGTAAGTTGTAACTTCAAATCAATACAAATCCCGAGAAAAGTGGACTGCTACCATTACCAATGGAAAGAAAAAGCATCAATTATTAAGGGGTTGATCAACGTTAATAAAGGGAATGGCAATGTTAGATGGAGAGAGAAGAAGGGGGGGGGGGTTCACGCGTAGACTATCTTTGCCTTTCTGCAAAATACACAGCTCGGATAGACGGATACATGAATTTTTAAGCCCAATAAATAATTAACCTAATGTCACGTTACAGAGTTGCAGGCCGGCTTGGTTTCGTGACTAGCTGTATGGAGTTTCATATTAACCTTTTTCAAGGGAAACGCCACATATACAATTCCCACTTAGTTTTTATATTTTCTAAAGGAGAAGATAGGAAAGGACTCAAAGCAGGTATCATGCATGTTCTTTAAATTTTTTAGACAACAGGAAACATGAAAAAAAAAAGGTGGTTAAGACTTGGATAGGGCATCTTAAAACTCAGAAAGGAAGAAAAGCCATCATATACACAATAAAATACATGAATTTAAAAACCAATTAAGAACGATATCCTAGGGAGGAAAGAGAGAAGGAAAAAGAAAACAAAAAAAGAAACACCTGGCGCCATAAGCCCAGGCCGACTAGTGGGGTCAATTTAACGTTTCACGGTCGAGGCCCCTCGAGTCGATCGGCCGGCACGCCACCACCAGCGAGGAGTTCGGTGAGTGCGGTCATGACTCTAACTTGCATCTCCAAGGCCGATATATAATCAGAGGTTTCTTCCAGAAGATTTGGAAAGGAGACCTTACGGCAACCGGGAACTAATCGGCCGAGAACGCACGCTTTCTTATGCAGAGCCGGCAACCTCCTGTCTTTCCTAATTTCCGGCTTCTTGAATCCTCTCGTCGTCTTCTTCACCTTCTTGTGTTGCCTCTGGAATCTCCAACGGCCGAGCGGAGAAGCCAGAATCGCTCGACTCCATCGAGTCCTGCCCTTGGCCGTCGTGGCTAGAACTCTGTCAGCCGTCTCATGAATTTCATGACCGCCGACAGGTCTGGGCGGGAGAGAAGGACTGCGATGGAGGACGTGGCGCAGAGCTTCGACAAGCTTGGAGGAGTAGATCCGACGGTCCGCGTCGGATCTCCATCGAACGGGGTGGAGGGAATTGTGACGGCTAGAATCGGGCCCAAATTTGGTGCGCTTTCTAAGACTGGATGGTGGCGACGTATCAGAATGGATAGAATCTAAGTCGGGCTGCAAAGACGCCATAGAATAGAAGCAGAAACAGCGAATCGTGCGGGCACACCCTCGTTAGCGATTGTTTTGGTCGGATAGAGAGGGGAAACGGAATACGTAGGGAAGGAAATGGAACTGAGAGGAGAGATGAGAATAGAAGGGAATTGGGTTGAACCGAAACAGAATTGAGGATGGAAAAGTGAGGGGCTAGGCTAGAATTTGAATAAGTATTTGTAGAGAGAGAGAGAGAGTGGGGGATTCAGGGGGTGAGAGAGTGAGAAAGACTATGAAAGCAATTCACGGGCAACCACGCGTCCATGCCTATGCCTTGCTTCCACCCTTTATTACCTTTGCCCTCCTCCCCCCCCCCCCCCAATCCCCCACACACTTCCTCATCCTAATAAATCAAATATTTGTTTTAATATTCTCCCAATTATGAGCCTGATTGATAACTTATTTTAAAAATAATTTTTAATTTTTTAAAATAAAAAACAATAAAATTTATTTGATAATATGTTTTTTAAAAATAAAAAATAAAATATTATTTTAGATAATAGATAAATGAAACAACTTTCAGGTATTTTAAAATTATTATTTTAAAAAATAGTTAAGAATGAAAAAATACTTATTTTTATTATTTTTTTATTTTTAAAATATATTTTATAAAATATCAATTTTTAAAATAATAAAGTTTCAAACAGCCTATATTTCCAATGTTTCAGTTTTTTCATCCTCATTCTTCCATCCCTCCCAATATGGATCTTAACAAGGGCTGTCAACTATTTCTCCAACAAGGTCAACCTATGCAACACACTCCAAACATATTTTTTTCGGAAGTACATAATAATTTTTTTTAAATTTGTACTCCTTTTTTATAATTAAAATTAATTGAAGTACATCAAGAATTATTTTAAAAAAAACCTTGTTACTGTGTGTCAGGAATGTTGAAAAAAAATTCGGGTTTCTCATTTCAAAGATCCCAATTACTTTTCCGGAAACATTCTGGACTTATGTTTTCCCTTTGTTAATGTGCCTTTTTTCCTGCCATAAGAAAAACATTCATCTTCCACCAATTTACGGCTTCCACGCTGATTGAGTTCTTCCGTGGTTGAGCAGCCAACCTCATTAGAAGCGTGGCATGAGTAAACTGTACTGACAGTGACCAGGAAAATATTGCCAGTTAACGCAGATAAACATTGAGAGTCTGACCAACGGAACCAAGCAAAAAGCAATCTACTCTTGATACATTGAATTGAAAATTAGAATGTGTGAGAGTTCCCGAGAGGAAAATAGAGGTTTATGTGATTGGACAAGGTGGCCAGTGGACTACTTGTCTCTTTAAATTATCAAATTATTCTCACCATGTATCCCTAGTTTTTATGGTATGTTCCCACTCTAAATTTCGATTGAACAAGACGATAGGCATCCAGTAGTCAGGGGGGCATAAACTATTCCCAGTGAATTCAAACTCCAAGAGTAGACTTGACTTTTGTAGGGATCATCGACCATGCAGTCACTACTACTATTATAATTATAATTAAATTATAATTATATTATATTATTAAGTACAGTGCGTAGCTCTCAAAGCGGATAAGATCTCCCAAGCTGGGTCAATCACCTCAATTTGCTCGCGAAGATAGAACCAAAAGAAAGAGAAAGAGGGAAGATTATATTAAGGCGCCAAGCCAAAGGGTCCAAGTTTCACATGCGGGGGTTATCCCGGGCGATGACGTTGTGGAGCCTGGTCCAATTACTCACGGCATCATCAATGCGCGGCTTTTTACAGGACGGACAAAATTTTACCCTCCCTGATTGGCTAATTTAGACGCCGCATGCTGGAATTCGGGATGGCGGTGGTGACATTTAGTTGTTAATGAGGAAGGAATGGATGGAAGGCACTTGGCGTGCGTGGATTGGGCAAGGGTGATAGGGCCCAGCTCGTTTGTTTGATTGGTTGCAATGATTAGAGGGCGATGCCAAGATAGAGGCATGTCATGTGAGTGGTTGCTTTCATGCCACTTTCTATCAGCTCTGCTGGCCCTTGCCTTTTCTTGTTGCAATGGAATGCTACTTCGGACTCATCTCTATTCACACCCTGACGGAGGCATAGCTGTGCGGCTAGGTTTCGTCCACATTGCCCTCCTTCCTAAATCCGAACCCTTCCTGTACCCTATCCTCCCTCCCCCCACGATTTGTTCTGTACATAACTAGTGCATTATTGACACACACAGTCCAATTATTAAAATGAGGAACAGGAAAAGGAAAGCCATTGGAGGTTGCCACTGACAAATGCAAAGCAGTGCATTAAGTGGTAAATATCCTTCCAAATCAAAGTTCAATGGATATTTTGGTTCGGAAGAGCTCGGAAGAAATTCCTTCTCATGCAATAGATTTCCACGTCATGATGCCGATCAAAAGCCTGTCCAAAGCCTCCACACCTAGATCCGACAATCCAGTAAAAGAACACTCGAAGCACGGAAGCAGAGAAGAAACGTTTATCAGATGAAGCAGATCTCACCAAGAAGATCCCCATCAAGATAAATTAGCACGAAAAAACCAGTATGTTTCTGCCTCTTTAACTTCTAGAAACACAAGATCCAGTGATTGGGTTGTTGAGCAGACTGAGCAGTAATTCTAAAAAAAAGATTTGTAATACGAAATCTAACCAACAAAATTGCCTCCACATTAATGATGAAATTGTAGACTGAGCAAGTCTCAGGATCATTGTAATTGGTTTAATTACCCGTAGGGCTGCGATGAGATAAGAACAATAATTTAATAATAATAAGAAAAAGGATATCGGAAACGAATCTGAGTAAAAGATCAGATTAGGTTCCCTCCCCCCGGGCGGCGGGGCTATCAAGATGACATGCCAGAAAGCCTTGCTCCCTTCAAAGAGACAGCCTTTACTGTCTAGGCTCTCACATGAGCCTCCCCCTGAAATATTAAACAACAACCGTATAGGTCCATCGCAATGATTTTCTCCACCACCCAGCAAACAATCTGTCACTAATAATAAAAATAAAATAAATAATTCGTGAGAATTTTCTGGCAGACATAGTAGTTAAATATCGCCAGATGGAACGCTTGGTCAAGGAGTTCATGTTGATTACTTATTAAATTGGTTGCTTTTCATTATAGCTGACAATTTGTATTTGAACTTTTAAAGCTATGACCAACAGTACAGTACAAAGGGCTTTAATAGTTTAAGCATGAAATCTTAAGTTCACAGTTTTTAACTTTTTATGGAGGTGGAGATGATGGGCAATAACAAAAAAAATTTGACAAATCGGATGCTACTAATTTGCTCTGTTTTTGTAATAATAATAATTGTTATTATTTCTAAAACTGTTGAATTCTATGAATTGCAGATCCTCGAGTTTATCCCAGTCAGAAAATATTTGTTTATCTTCCTATCGATAATACACCAATAATTTTACCAATCAACTTCTCTCCGCCTGTTTTCCGTAAAGAAACCAATTTGATGTCAGCTTGCATCCTCACGACCATTAAAGTATATATTAGGGATCTTGCTCAAGCAAGAACAAGAATATAATACAGAATTAGTTAGACCAGGTGACCGCATAAGACAAACAACATTAGCGGTGCCTGCCTCGTTGCTTCCCAACATAGAATTCCTGCGCTAAACATTGAAAATGTTAATCAGTTGCCTTTAAAAAAAAATAAAAATACAGGCGTCCCTGTACAAGTTATTTCTCGAATTCCTGACTCAAGTACTAATGACGCAGAATCGTTTCTAGACGTGAGCATAATAATCACTTGATTACGGCGTCAAAATTTATGAGCTGCGACTAGAAATTTCAATGGCAAAAATTTCTTCACTTTATTCTACGAACACCATGAATTACGTATCATGGACCGGCTCCATTACCAAACAGATGCAAATAATGCAGAAAAATAAATGCAAGACACCCTTCTAATTGGAATGCGTCAGCTCAACTACAAATTACTCCCTCTCTTTATAAGTATAAGGTGTTTTCATCTATCTCAAGCATCATGAAAAAGGTTTCTTATGTTGTTAAATTTGTTAAAAAAAAATAGCCCAAGATTCCATTCTTGAGTAACTAATGACACCAAACACGAGAGGTTGTCACCAAAAGCACATTTAGCGTCAGAGATTTGAAATGATTTCAAACACAGTAGATTTCTAATGCTACGCACAATTGTAAAAGTTCCTTCACCATTCATTGAGCAGGCCACCTTCTCATGGAGTGGTTTTGAATTTTGGGCTTTTGCCAAATGTTCCAAAATATCGTACGCACATGATGAATTCTAATTCATTCACATAACTATACAATTACAAGGCATTTTCCATGCAAACCAATGCATAACTATGACAAGGTATTCCACATTTTTATCTTTTTGGGTTAAAGTGCATTTTGCCCTCAAGTTATTTCATGAATAGTACTTATTATCTTAATATCTTAATTTTTTATTGGAGCAATGTTTCCTCTAGTTAAGGACACTAACATCAACTATTAACTCTACACAGAGAAACAAGTTTGACTGACATGTAACATACCTGTATGGAAAAAATTTTGGATTAAAGGGTAGTTTTACTTCTAAAATATTTATCGAGGAGCAACTAGCACTTGCAATCGGCTGCCTCCTGCTTTTTTTAATTAAACCATGTGGCAACATGTTTAAGGTGTCACATGGCTTGTTAACTAGGTATTTGTTAGTAATAAAATCAGTCAATCTACACTAATGATCAAATAACAATACTATCAAAAGTATGTCCAAATTATCAGAGATATATAGGTATTTGTCAGTAAAAAAGATCTGTTAGTCTTCTAACTAGTCGCAATCACAATTAACATATAAAACTTGTAACAGTACTGTGAGTTGAAAGTTAATATGCGCTGACAGACTTTTTTTAACTAATGAATGCCTAGTTGGCAAGCCAAGTAACATCTATCTCTTCCTCCGATTGTTCTTAACTGAAAGTTGTGACGTCATGTTTTCACATTGACTATTATTGGAGTTAGCAAGTCAAGATAGACATACATAACCTGTAATAGCACTGCTAGTTCATCATTAGTCCAAATTAATAAACTTTTTTTGAATGTTGAATAACTAGTTGACAATCCATGTCATTCCTTAGTGCTTAGACACGATGCCACATGTTGCAAGAAAAAAGAAATAGTAGTGCCAATTGCTTCAATTTATTGAACTACTAGTTGTTTCTCTTAAGGGTGCTCATCGTGAAATAATTCAGGAACAAAATTGTTCTTTAAGCTATTCTTTTTTTTTCAGGGTAACATTCTACATTTATTCTTGAATCCATGCTCTG